AAAAAAAAAAAAAAAAAAAAAAAAGGTATTGAGGGAGCTCCCAGAATTCCCTTTTGATTTCAATCTACCTCTTTTACTGCCGTGGGGAAGTGAGCCACAGCCCGAGAATATGCACATAATCTTTCCTCTATACCTTCTTCAAACACCAACTGCCTTTCAGCTGCGGCTGCAGATGCAAGTTCTGCAATGAGGCTAGAAACCTGCAATTATAAATTCGGATTAGATTGTCTATGTAACGGCCCAAGTCCACCACTAGCATATATTGTCCTCTTTAGGCTTTCCCCTCAATGTTTTTAAAACGCATCTGATAGGGAGAGGTTTCTACACCCTTATAAAGAATGATTCCATAATGTACCTACATAGTTGAAGAATTATGCAGTAAACTTATTGCATGAAGAAGAAGGTATCTTACTTCAGAGCGATAATCCTTTTCCACAGCACCCACGGTCGCACCTGGATGACGTGCTCCAACGAGCATAAATGCAGAAATCCAAATCAGCTTCTCCAACATTTGTTTCTCAAATGCTTCCTTATCGAGAACCTAGCTTACAAACATAACCTTTAAAGTTAATGTGTGTATGGAATAAAAGAATATCATAAATGACACATATTTCTCTAAAGAACATTCATGAAACAACTCATTGTTTACTTCCCAGTTTACACACAAGAGGCACATTTCTTTTGTGGATTTACCTTGCAGGAGAGGCCTGCAGCATTGAGCCTTCCAGCTACGGCAGATGCCCATTTTCCATACGCTGCTGTCAGTCCTTCAGGATTGGTATCCGTTATTCCATCCACAGGAGCCTCTCCCAGCTTTGAGATAGCGAAATATGCTAACACTTGATTCACATCATTTAGACCTTTGCTTTCATACCAAGGGTCCAGCATTCCATTCTGGAAAAAAACCAAATCTGCTAGATTGTCAATATCCATTGCCAAAGCAATACAGCACAAGCCATTATATGATGAGATATTCCAAATGGGAATACCCTAATTTCTTCCTAAATTCAAATGTTGCATTAGAAATGCAATCCTCTTTGAGCTTTCACTTCCGGATTCTCCTTGAAGGCTTTAAAACGCTAGAAGAGTGTTAGGGAGAGGTTTCCGCACCCTTGTAAAGAATCTTTCATTTCCTCTCCAACCAATGTGGGATCTCACAATCCACCCCTCGGGAAACATCCTCGTTGGTGTGCTCGGTGTCTAGCTTTGAAACCCTTTGTAACAGACCCACCGCTCGCAAATATCATTCTCTTTGAACTTTTCCTTTCCAGTTTTTCCTCAAGATTTTAAAAAGTGTTTGCTAGGGAGGTTTCCACACACTTGGAAAGGAAATGAAATATGGAATCTCACAGGAAATGTGAGTTGATTGCATATGGTATGCAAGCTTGGATATTAAATTGAGTCACGAAGTCCAGACGTGAACTATAATACCAATTGGAAAGAAAATGAAATGAAATTTGGTAAACTTGTACCAAAAAACTTGAGCTGAAGCTGAGTTTATGGGATAGGCAATGAAAACAAGAAAGCCCATAATGCCAAAACTTCGAATTCAAACCCCATAAAACGAGATGGGAGTGAAGCATATCGTCGCCAATAAAATGCGTCTCGATTCAAAATAAGCGAGAAAATAAAGACAATAACACGATTCGATGATCATACCGTTCCATCTCGATCGAGGAGTGGATTCAAGAACAGCTTCAAGATCATCATTTCTGGTACAAACAAGGATAGGACCCGGAAAATCAAGGGGCACGGACTCGCCTCTCTTCACCAAAAAATCTTCACCATTTCCCATGTCCAGCAGCGCCCTCCCAACGCGCCCACTTCCGACTATCACAGCGGGTACCACCTTAGTTCCGGTAGCCGCGGCCATGATTCTCAGACGGCGATCGCGAAATTTAGAAGCGGGTTTAGAAAGTCGAGACCAGAGAGAAGAGCTAGAGATTGTGAAGGAAATTGCGGCGGCCATGGCTGAGTAGGAAATGAACCAGGTGAGCTTGAAGTGACATTGTTGTGTGGTTTGTATAAGCAGAGAGGGTCAGTGTGGGTTTTCAGAGAGCGGCTTTGAGTGGCGGAGAAGAAGATAAGCTACTCGATCTGTGGCCATGGCTGCGCCCACCGACCTATCTGTAAGTTGTTTATAGGCCCGATGGGCTTTTTTATGTAAGAAATATGTGGGCCTAAGCCCACATAAGGCTTAACAGTATTTGGGCTGGGCTAAAATTTGTTGGTCTAAATCAAACACTAAATGGACCTATCTGTAAGTTGTTTATAGGCCCGATGGGCTTTTATGCAATAAATATATGGGCCTAAGCCCACCTAAGGCTTAACAGTTTTTGGGCTGGGCTAAAACTTGTTGTAAGTTGTTTTAGAGGCTCGATGGGCTTTTTATGTAAGAAATATGTTTTTCTAAGCCCACCTAAGGCTTAACATTATTTGGGCTGGGCTAAAACTTGTTGGTCTAAATCAAACACTAAATGGACCTATCTGTAAGTTGTTTATAAGCCCCATGGGCTTTTTATGCAAGAAATATGTGGGCCTAAGCCCACCTAAGGCTTAACAGTATTTGGGCTGAGCTAAAACTTGTTGTAAGTTGTTTATAGGCCCGATGGGCTTTTTTATGCAAGAAATATGTGGACCTAAGCCCACCTCAGGCTTAGCAGTTTTTGGGCTGGGCTAAAACTTGTTTGTCTAAATCGAACACTAAATAGACCTATTGTAAGTTGTATATAGGCCCGATGGGCTTTTATGCATGAAATATATGGGCCTAAGCCCACCTAAGGCTTAACACTATTTGGGCTGGGCTAAAACTTGTTCTATGTTGTTTAGAGGCCCGATGGGCTTTTTTATGCAAGAAATACATTGACCTAAGCCCACCGAAGATTGTTTGGGCTGGGC